AGTGAAACCTATCCATGCGCGACATGGCAGATACACCGATATTAAGCAACTGTCGTTCAGAGTAGAGCCTCTCTCAGAAACCTGCTAACCCGGTATCTTCATAATGAACAGTCAGATCTCAAAAATGTTAAGATAGTTAAATCATTATGGCCATAGAAGAAAGAAATGAAGAACCGGTAAACCATATCCTAAACAGGAAACAATCATAAGTCTCTATTCCTGTGCAATAAATATGAAAGAAGTGAGGGCCGGACGATACTAGAGCCTATCTACTCTTATTAACCTGTTCACAGCACACGAGGCTGGGTGTTTTTATCGGTTTAAGGTTTAAATATACATACATACAAACAACATACACTCGACATTGGAGCAGCGAATTGGTCATTAAATGGGACACTGATTATTACTATTTTTGTAATTTTGGTTTAAATGATAAATATTAGAAGCCAATCAATAATTATGAAATAATATTTATGTACATATATGTAGTATAAGTCCGAATACCCTGTATAAGTAAAAATCGCACGGTGATTTATTTTTCCCCTTATCACATAGGGGTTATTCTCATCCAAAAATAAGAATGGTGTCCCACCAAGCTATTTCGAGATAATTAACTGGGTAATGAAGCAGATACGTTGTATTTACACTGGCCAAGTTACAGCTCAACTGGTTTTCTGGCAAGCAGAACGTTTTGGTGAATATTTTCGAAATTAGTGGATCAGACTATCTTTTATGGCCGACCATTATCCCTTCCCACTACTTCGAGGGCGGGGGGTGTCAAGGAGTAGTAATAGTAGTGGTAGTAGTAGCTAAGAAACAAATGCGAGGTTTCACTTAAAAATATCCATAGGTACAAGAACAAGTATTTCTTTTTTCATTTTTTGGTTCTCAGGAAGAATGTGAAATGAACAGACTTCTATTCTACAAAATCGCCAAACACCAAAAATAAGAAAACTAGCTCGACCACAGATTCATTAAAAACAGATATTGTACAAGAAAAGAATAATATTGCAATCAATAATTATAGTAATAATAAAATGTCATAATTTTATAACATTATAATCCTATACTACTTATATGTAATAATCTTATAATACTTATATGTATATACAGATTCTTTTCATATTTATTGATTGACTTCTAATATTTATCATTTAAACCGAAATTACGAAAACAGTAATAATCTTATAACAATGGGTAAATTACATGTTTAATTTCGCGCATGCGCATTTTTTATTTTGTCGACTGTACAGTATAGTAGGTTAAGTTGGACACCGTCTGTGAGAAAAGGAGCATTATGACGCAATTCACGCCGCCTGAAATTTGGAAACGGCGTGCAGTACTTCTTGGTATTCCCGCCGGAAGTTCCAATACGAATATTTTAGATTGTTTTGGTATTAATCTGGGGACAGTGCAGAGGATTTGGAAAGAGTTGGATGAGTCTAATTGTGATTACAAAGGTGTTTCGAGTCATCATTGGTGATGACGACGTTATACCTGAGCTCATCTTCCCACAGGGCCTCAAACTTAAATCGGAGGCCTACATCAAGAGAATGTAGTGCTGCCCTGGGTGGCTGCTGGAGGACCCTGTCTGGCAAAAAGACAGTGCACCACACAACACAAACAGGAGAACTCAGTCAGGACTGTTAATTTCTGCGAGCACATCACCCCTTATATCTGGCCTCATAACTCCTCAGATTGCAACCTCCTTGATATGTGTGGAGTGTAGTTGAGCGAGAGATAAAAAAAAATCCATGTAACACGAATGCTTAACTAAAGGGAAGGGTTTTGAGATCATTCACCAGCTTAAAGAAGAAAACCACACAGAAGAGTTGCAGGAGATTCCAAAGTTGTCTGTAGGCCGTGGTTAAAGCCAATGACGATTTTATTGAACAAATTTACTCTTTCGTATTTCAAGATATTTTTTGTGTAAATTTGGTAAACATATCTATTAAAATGAAATGTCAGTGCTATTTTCATTTTTGCGTCATTTAGGCAACACTTTATCAATCGCACCCTATATATATATATATATATATATATATATATATATATATATATACTGTAAAAATCAGGAGTTGAATCCGCTATTTTGGCTATCAGCCTATTTTTATCAACTGCCCCCCAATGCTTTATTTAAAAAAACAAAAAAACTTATGAAGGCTATATTATTTTTAAAAAAAATAAATAAACAAATGCATGACGTTGGGTGTATTAGAAAAGGAGGAGGAGAATGTGAATAAGGAAGAAGAAGAAATAGGTAAAAGAAGAAAAGCAAGAGTAATATAAATGTATCGATGGTTGGGGGGATAATTGAAATGTACATATTTTTATCCAGCCTCATATGTACTTCAGAGGAATTTTTTTAATGTGTATCTTTATTTTTTTAATGTGTATCTTTATTTTTTTTAAATAAAGAGTTGGGAGGTCAATTGATAAAAATCGAATGAGGACACTGTTACTTTGAAACTGTAGCGGATCCACCTTACTTCCTGACAAGTTAAAAGCTCTACATGTTATTTTTACTTTTATTTTATTTTTTTCACATGTGTATTGAGCATTATAAATACTACTGTTTCTTGGTTTCTTGGTCTGACCATTAACCTTTTATACATATATATATATATATATATATGTGTGTGTGTGTGTGTGTGTGTGTGTAAGTTGCTCTCTCGAGGGGTTTGCAACACATTATTTATCATCTCTCAGTTGCGTCTTTGTCTTTGGGTAGAGTGCACTCAGGGGCGGCTCCGTCAAAAGAGAGTCGTAATTATACTGAGAGGTGCCCAGCCATGGGGAACAGCTGCCCGAGGCCGCGCTCTCTCATTGCACCAGAGTGAAGGATCCGACGGTAGCGGGAGCTGCGGACAGTTTTTATTCCTAGCCCGGGTGTTTGACTGACAACTATTGTATCAAAATATAAGTTACTTTCGAAAAGAGGTTAAGTCAAGGTAGGGTAGGGGTGCCTTTTCAAACGAATGATGATATCCGTTCATCGCATGTCGTCTGGTCTCTATCAACGACAAAAGGTTTTTCGGCACTTTTGTTTCGCCGTTAAATTTATAATTGTATACATAAAGATTTTTTTCTAAAAGAGTTGTTTGTATATGAGTATGTCGTATTGAACTACAATTTTAAAATATTTTTCCAAATACTAATAGACTATACTTCTTTTAAAGCAAATAAATGTAATAGTAATTCTATTACATTTATTTGCTTTAAAAGAAGCATAGTCTATTAGTAATTAGAATTAGAAATAATATTTTAAAATTGTAGTTCAATACGACGTACTCATATACAAACAACCCTTTTAGAAAAAAATCTTCATGTATACATGGTAATTCCTGGGTAGCGATGGAACCATATATTTAAATAAGTAAATTTATAATTTTTATGCTTTGTAGATTTGCATTTTAATAAAAATAAAAATAATTAATAAGAACACCGGATTATAAATCTTACTGTTCTTTCTCTTTATTATAATATATATATATATATATAGATTATATATACATATATAATATATAACAATATATATATATATATATTTATATAATTATATATAATTATAATTATATATATATATATATATATATATATATATATATATATATATATATATATATATATAATACATTGATTTTGTGAATCAGTTGTAATATTTCATATTATTAGGATTCCCTTGGATTATATACCTTCGGATTATTACCTGTACACGCACACATTACATTCATTCATTAATCTTCTAGTTTAATCATGTTGTCAATATTGACAACCATATTTAAATAATTTTGCAGTTGCATAACGTCAGGAGTATTATTGTGTGTGTTTTTCTTGTCTATTTTCTGCAATACCTGAATATTAATTATAAATTATTGTATTTTATTTATTTAATTTAAAATAAAAAATACTATTTCTATTACGCCATCGTAAAGTCTAATATATATATATGTGTGTGTGTGTCAGTGTGTGTGTTTGTGTGTGTGAGAGAGAGAGAGAGGAGAGGGAGAGAGAGAGTACACAGGTCTACCTATCTCAAATAAAAAAGGAATTTATTTCCAAATAATGTGAAATAATATCTAATTCACCGTTGAATATTTATCGTTTTTTATCAAGTTTAAATAAATTCTGATTGTATTACGTCAGTAGAAATGTTGACTGTTATATTTAACATTTCTACTGACGTAGTACAATCATCATCATCATCATCATCATCATCATCATTATCATCATCATCATCATCATCATCAGTCCGTTGACTGCTAAGGGAAAAAAAAAAACAAAAAAACGGACAAGCTCCTCCAGCAGGATCTGTTGGCATTGGCTCTCAGGAGATCCGGCATTGTCATGTCCACCCACTCATTAATATTTGACCAGCAATTGCGTTGTCATCCCGTTTGTATCCGCCTCTTCAGCATTGCCTTGCATGATGGTCTTGCAGAGGTTGTTATGCCGTGTGACATGATCATGCTATCTTTCGGCTCTTAATGGTGACGAGGAGAGATTCCTGTCGGCCTATGAGACTTCTGACCTACATAGTCACTGGTTTTGCACTACCCGTAGGAGGTGCGGAGGCGCCTTGACAAATATTTATTCTTGTACACCTGGATCCATTTTCCCGTCTGAGTCACAAGTGTCCAAGTCTCACACCGGTAGAGGAAGATGGATGCGACCAGCGATTTGTAGAGTTTGAACTTGGTATGGAGACTGATGTTGCTCTCCCATGAAGTTTCCAGTCTGGACGTCTCTGCTGTAGCGATAATAAAGATAAGCAATTTGTTTGGCGTCAGGACGGACATTTTTTGCAATGATGTACATGCATAGACACACACACACACGCGCGCGCGCGCATACACAAACACAGGAGCACGCGTGCATGCAGGCAAGCACGCCTGCAGAAAATGTGTTTACTCATTGCGCTTTATATATATATATATCTCTTCTCGAAAAAATACGAAGGAATGGATTGACCGTAGAGTAACTGATGTTTGAACATTTAAATGAAGGTCATCCATTATCTACGTGGAAAAATAAGTGAAGCGAGATCTATCTATCTCAGTCTCTTCATTTATCTATCTATCTATCTATCTATCTATCTATCTATCTATCTATCTATCTATTTCAGTTTCTTCATCTATCTATCTACATGTCTATCTGTCGCAGTCAGTTTCTATCTCTTTCCGTCTTTACACCAATCTATTTCATTTATCTATCTATCCATCCATCGCAGTTTGCACATTATCTATCTATCTATCTATCTATCTATCTATCTATCTATCTATCTATCGCAGTCTGCTCCTCTGTCTATCTATCTTTCTGTCTCTTCATCAATATATTTCAGTCTCTTTATCTATCTATCTATCTGTCTATCTATCTATCTATCTATCTATCAGTCTCTTGATCAATTTATTTCAGTTTCTTCAGCTATCTATCTATCTATCTATCTATCTATCTATCTATCTATCTATCTCTTGTCTGTTCATATCTATCTGAGTCTGTTCATATCTATCTATCTATCTATCTATCTATCTATCTATCTATCTGGACACTTTTTTTCTCTTACCGAGTTTACCGCGAGTTGTACAAGATATTTTCGTTGGATATTCTTCGGAGTAAGTGTTATTTTTGTCCCCCCCCTAATCTTGTGTATCCATTGTTGCCTTTCTTTGTCGTCATATTCGTCTGAATTCCGTGTATTGTTTCGAATTGTGTTGGGGTGAAGAGGGTACGCCGACATCATGTCGGAGCCCGAACCTCTTCCTGCTTCCCCTACAGAAGTAACTCCTTCGGCATGGGCAAGGGATAGGCCCCCACAAAATGGCCAGAATGTTTCAAAAATCTAAAAGAAAAGTTTGATCCATATGTTAATGGAAATGAATTATTATCGTTGCCGTCTGTATTGGACACGGTGAATACAAGGACAATCTCGTTAGTAACAACGGACTCCAAGACCCGGAAGTTAAATATCGTTACTATGGAAGTGATGAAGGAGGTCCTGAAAAGGTTTTAAATTGAAGCCCAAATTCTAGAAGTTACTCAATGTGGGACACCTTATTACCGACAGAAGAGAAAGCCAAATCACTGTCAGGCTGTATTCTAACTACTTCGACGGTCAGGCTTCAGACGGAATATATGGGGACGAGAAAGGCAAAGGTGACTCTGCATAGGGGGCCACTCTTCATATCTGAAAACCATCTGCCCTATTAAAAGTAAGGTCAGAATTGCCACAGGCGATATTGAAATCGCAATTACTTTAAATCGAAAGCAATTTACGGAAATACCCAACACGTTAATGTGTAAGGGTAGACTTATCTATGTCGTTGTGGAGGGTCGTCGACCACTTTGTTGGGCTTGAGGGGCTGTGGGGCATTTGTCTAATGGATGCCCGAGACAAAATGCTGTCCGACAACCCAAAAAGAAAATGAAACAGCGACATCACAGCCAACATCACAGGCAACAGCACAGACAAGCAAGAAAACTGGGGAATTGAACGGAAGTCGTCAAGAAGGGAACCAAAAGTACCACCACTTCCCTTCAGCAGCAGAATGAGGGTCCTCAACCGGAGCAAGAGGACCAGCAAGTAAGGGAAGTAGAAATGCAGGAGATGCCCCCCCACCTCGGTCGTCTTCGTTGAAAAGAAGAAGAAGAAGAAAAGAAGAAGAAGAAAAAGAAGAAGAAGAAAAGGGGGGAAATGAAGAAAAAAGACAAGCGAGCTGAAGCCCTCAAAGACTCTCCCAAAACCAAGGCTCAATCTTCCCCGGTTCGCCAGTCAAGAAGCCTGAAGAAATTACCACAAGAAGCTTTCCTTATTCCCCTCTGAAAGCATCACTGTTCCCATTCTCAATACACCTCTTCATCATACACCCCATCCAAATACCACTGCAGACGATGACATTTGTACCCTTCCCAACACCCCTCTTTCCACCAGCACAATGTCTAGTAAATCCGCAACGCCCAGCACCTTCCAGCAGATTTCTTCTTCTCTTAAGAAGAAATTCCCAAGTGGGATAATGTCGTGCTGTGTGGACAAGTAGGCAATAGAAGCGAGTATGTCGAAGCAAATAAGAGCTTTGTTGAAGACCTTGTTAAAGATGGCGTCAGTAGACGGATTTGCTACAGAAGATCCTCGAAATTTTCCCAAGGCCGCTGGCGTAATAACGTGGATAAAGGGCACAGGCTGAAATCTAATAGCGTGGGATCACCTACACAAGGCGAAGGATGCCTTTCCGGAAATCGGTATGGCGGAAATAGGAACCCCGCAGATTTCCGTCCAGTATGTGAGTAGGGGAATCAACTTGAAAAATGTTTTTCAAGATAGCTAGTTTGAATGCGAGGGGCTTGAGGGATCGGAGTAAGGCCGCCCGCCTGCTTCGTGATCTCTTGTCCTTCGGCGTAGATGTAGCTGTGATCCAGGAGACGCACTTTCTTTGCGAGGATGATGCGCATGTGCTGTCTAGCGATTATGTTGTCTGAATAGCATACGTGGACCAGCCGGCCAGAGGTGTTTCCTTGCTGGTTAAACGTACTCTGGATGCGAGGGTGGACCTTGTCAGCGTTGATGCGGGGGACCGTTTGATCGTGGCTGATATTGCTGTGAACAGTCGTTCGCTTTGGGTCGTTGCGGTTTATGTGCCAAACGATCAGTGGGAAAGTTTCTCGTTTTTTCGGCAGTTGGGACCGTTACTGGTTGATTCTTCGCGCTTAGTCTTAGTAGGGGACTGGAATGACATTCTGGACCCCAAGATAGACATGGGGCGGGGAGTTAGAGGGAGGTCATTGGGTGATCGTAGTCTTGTTGATCTGAACAACGAGTTCGGTCTCGTCGAGAGATACCGGGTCGTCTACCCTGGGCGAGAGATGTGGACGTGAACTCGTAAGTGGCCGTCTACCCAGGTAGCTAGCTACCTGGATAGAATGTTAGTGAAGGGCCGATGAGGACCTGCTAGATTGTCCAACGTTCCATTGGTTAGACTATTCGGACCATAGACTCGTCTGTGCCCGGATAGCGTTAGATGCTAGGCCTAGAATGGCTGGACACCGGAAGTTCAATCTGTCTTTACTGGATAGGCGGGACTTCCAGCAACACCTAATTAGAGTAGTGCAGCAAGAACTAATAGGGGCGGTTATTGTGAATAGGTGGTGGGAGAGGATTAAGGATAGGATTAGGTCGTTCACCACCGGATATAGCCAGCAGCTCACACTAGATAAGGCTAAAAAGGTGAAGAGACTTAAAGATAGAGATAGGTTTAGCTAAGCAGGCCATGGAGCGCGCGGCTAGTGAGCGCCACCTTGGTCAGGTAGTTAGACATAGGTTAAACAAATTGGCTAACGAAGCCGTGAACATGGACGCACAATTGCGCAAGTAAGAGATCCGTCGAGATTCTGATCGTTACATTCGTGAAGTTAAAACCCCGGTGGCGATAAGTTTCGAAGCTATTTGACTGACTTTCCTCGGCTTTCGCCGACTGAGTCTCTTCATCTATCTATCTATCGATCTATCTATCTATCTATCGCAGTCTGTTCATTATCTATCTATCTAGCTATCTATCTATCTATCTATCTATCTATCTATCTATCTATCTATCTATCTATCTATCTATCAGTCTCTTCATCAATCTCAGTCTATCTATCTATCTGTTGCAGTCGGTTTCTATCTCTTTCAATCTCTTCATCTATCTATTTATCTATCAGTCTCTTCATCAATATATTTCAGTCTTTTCATCTATCTATCTATCTATCTATCTATCTATCTATCTATCACAGTCTCTTCATTATCTATCTATCTATCTATCTATCTATCTATCTATCTATCTATCGCAGTCTGTTCATTATCTATCTAGCTAGCCAGTTATCTATCTCTCAGTCTCTTCATTAATCTATTTCAGTCTATCTATCTATCTATCTATCTATCTATCTATCTATCTCTTCATCAATATATTTCAGTCTTTTCATCTATCTATCTATCTATCTATCTATCGCAGTTTGTTCATATCTATCTATCTATCTATCTATCTATCTATCTATCTATCTATCTATCTATCTATCACAGTCTCTTCATTATCTATCTATCTATCTATCTATCTATCTATCTATCTATCTATCTATCTATCTATCTATCTATCTCTTTTAGTCTCTCCATCTATCTATCGTCATGATAATATGAGTGTTGATAGATTATGTGAGCTCAAATCTTAACAATTTTTGTTCGTCTCCTCTTTACTTTCGGGGCTATCTCTCTATGCTTTCTTCTTCTTTCAGTGAATTTCTCACTGTCCTACGCAAAGCACTGAGAGGTGCATGGCTAAAATAAATATTCATATAAAATATTTACCTATTATACATTATTTAATTTCATTCATATGGTTTTTATGAACTTGGAAATGTATATATAAAAGAAAATCACGCGTTTTCGCCTTCGCGTCTAAAAGAAAACAGAATCATTTCTCACTTTATTAATGCCTATAGACGCTTAGAATATCTTGAGGCTTAGACGTGACTTTCAGTCTTTAGAGAAAATTCATTATATTTTTTAAAGTTATGCCGCGAAGCTTAGTCTGACTTTATAAAAAAAGAAGATAAGAAAAAACATAATATCGTGAAACGCTTTTCATAGCGGGACCAAATCATACACGATGATTGAAAATCTAGAATGGATATCTATCAAGTAATTTAGGTCAAATAACCTTGAGGTTAACAGTTAATAGGTAACTAACTTTTAACAGAATGGAAAAGTTTCTAGCGTTTTGAAGTCAGCTGATCAGCTGACTTCAAAACGCTAGAAACTTTTCCATTCTGTACCATTAGGTACCTCCAAAAATTCACTAGAAAAAATGCCTCCAAAGAACAATGATTTATCGTCAAATCTTTATGTTATTATTGAAAGGAAATATCAATGGATTTTTTTGTATATAAAAATTACTTTTTTAATCTTTTTCAGAAGAAAATTTGGTTAAAAATCTTGTTTCTCCAGTGTCAACGTTGTACCATAAATTAGTATGAGGAATTCTAGCGACTTTTTGTGACTTTGAAATTTCTTGAAAAATTCAGATCATTGTAGGATTTTGATTAAACTTTTCGAACTTATTCAAAAATGAATGAAATTATTTTTTAAATGTTTCTTATAAAATCTTTGTAAAAAAAAATATAGCAGTTAACCTGCACTTAATTAATTTTATGAAATTTTCAGAAATTCTCTTTTGCAGTGTTTAATGTTTATATAAATTATAAGGATAAGACCTCGTACTGCCATCTTTCACGAGGGACTCCGTTAGAGCTATTTCTCCTTCATCAAAACGAGGTTATCTGTTTGGGCATGACATCTTTTTTGGGCAGTTACAGAAAATCTGCTCTGTATCTTAAAACAAAACTGCGATAAAATTAACACATTATTTAATTAGAAATGCTTCAATTGTTTTTAAATACAACGTATATTATGGGCACTATTATCTGAAGGAAAAAATCATTTCTATAAATAATGAATTTTTACAAGAATTGTTTTCATTTTTTATAATTAGAATAAGTTATAAAGTTTTAAATCTTTTAGAACTTTGTATTAATTTGTAGTGACCAAGTGATATCTTTTATTAAATTAAGTCTGTATTTACTAATCGTAAATGGAAAAGGTCGTTAGAATTCAACGGTATCTAATATTTTAAAAAAGAATTTTTGATTCATCTCATGTGTGTATAAACGTGTTGATTTTTGTAAATACAGATGTCCAAACGCGGCATTAACAGAAAATAAGAGTAGTATCTATGGTAATGTTAAAATTTATTGATAATTTTCTAATATTTCTTCAACAAGCGTCTTCGTAAGTTTCATTATAAAGGCAAAACACCTAAAATTCAATAAAATATTAGATTGCATAGAATATTTTCTTATATTTTAAAGATTACTTGGTAGTTAAAAAACGATATAAGAAGGTGTTACCGTTTTATTCGTCAAATAATTGTTACAGTTATGCCCCCTCTTAGAAAAACTTTCCCGCACATAAGTCTATCATTATATCATAAAAACGCCCACCTTCTTGTTAAAAATCTTTTTCGGCGATATTTTAAACTAAAATTATTTATTTCAAATCAGATTAAACTTGAAATCAGCTAATCTTTCTCAAAGTTTCAGACAAATATATCTATTTTTGAAAGATTTTTCTAATAAAAAGAATTACATTGTATTGCCAGATTTGTCAATATTAAAGATTTTAAAGTTTTTACTGATAATAAAAAAATTCATTCCGATCAATTTAAATATAGTTTGAAATACAGCAATGTATTTTGCTTATTTGAAAATTAAATTGAATCTATTAGCTTGAAATTAATATTAACATAAAAGCGTCAAGAAATATTTCGCTATCGCTTTTCTTTGAAGGTACCTACCTGATATTTTAGTAGATCTGATTGTAGCCTGTTTTAACCGAGACTCTTGTACTCGTGTATTGGGCGAGATTAATGATGTCTTGACCTAGATTAATAGTTAAGACGAACATGACTACTGCATAGTAACTTTAATCCTCAGTGGATCTCTACACTTGTGACATTGTGCTACTCCCCATACTAAACAAAATCTAATATATTTAAGGCGGTTCAATGTCAGATTATGCTAAGTAATCTAGTCGAACAGGCAATTACAATAGTGAGTTCGTTTCTCCTGATTTATTCTACATTTGTGGTCTTGTGTCACACTTAATAGTTTAATTACTTGTTGCTCTATATGATATATACTGCGTATATTTTTTAACCTGTTGTACATGTCCTGATGCTAATTTGATAAAAGTCACGTATAGCAATGTGAGGGTTAAAAATATCACAACATTGAGTAACAAGAAATACACACGATAAATGGTTTCGTATGTACGAGACGTGATTTTGTCTTTAATAGCAAAATATGAATATACTGAATGAATATACTGTTTGTAAGATTTGAGTAGTTCAGTGAAAAACAAAAATTGAAAACTCCGAACTGAAAAAGGATTTGGTAAGTAATCGGAAAAGGCAGTCAGTCTCAAGAAGTCACATTAGAGAAAAAAAGCGATTGACCAGCACATTTTTTAGGAGTAAAAATTCATAAAATATCGAGCTTATCTTTATTAAATGATTAATGTGACAAGAAGAAAGGCCAACCGTGGAGTCATGTCCGACATGCTGGTTACAGCAGTTATTGTTAGTTTTGAATACAGGATCGCTTCTCTATTCAACAGTTTCTATGAAACCATTCGTAAAGTAAAATGAAGAAGTATTCGCCGTTAACTGATAAGATGGCGAGAAATTTCTCAAACATTAACGGTGCTGCAATTTTTGCAAATAATTATGACTTTAATTTTGAAAGATCACATATCTTTAGAACTGGTTTGCAGGATGTTTTAAGTGTGATGTTTTACGTAGGACTGTATTATGTTTTAAGTAGAAAATGTATTATGTTTTAAGTAGAAAATGTATTATGTTTTAAGTAGAAAATGTGTTAGGCTTTAGGTAGAAACTGTATGACGGGAAAATATGTGAGGCTAAGGCATTTATACGTCCTATTAAATTCCAAAGTTTCCACATAACCCACTCATATGAAGAACTTCGGCCTTGACACCGAAGAAGGCAGAGATTAAAGATCATTTATGGGGAGGGCTCGGGAATGCTTAAGAAGTTTTATTAGTGGGGAAGAGAAATAACGATTACTGCTGAAAGGCTTTCGTTTCTACTCTCATCATATAATGTGAGAGAATAATGCAAGAAATTCCAATATTAACAATTATTCATATTTGCTGAACTGCTCGAACAAATATTTTCACTATTGCTGATTTTATTACCCCATTTAGACTGACGGGTTAATTTCGGATGATACGTTCTTCAGCCATCTGCTTGGTTCCTGTGTTGTATAAAGTCATCAGACGCATGCAAGGGTGGAAATTTATCTTTTTTTTTCTTTAGAATAGAGGGCTACAAAATGTCTTCCCATTTTTTCTTTTCTTTTGATTCCACACATATAGTGGGAAATTGTAGTCCCTCTCAAATCCTTCTGACTCCTGGGGAGCCACGAGGCCCATTAATCTCTTCTCCTCGCCTTCACACCCACTCACCAGCTCATTTTGTATCTTATGCTTTTTCAGCCAACGTCTCCCACAATCAACTAAAACTATCACTAAGCACTATGATAACTGACAACCAAATTATAATTTCTGTTGGGTCCCCCTCGGTAACTTATCCACTAATTCGTGTAAACCTATTGGGATAATTTGCATGTAGTTATATTTTTTTTCCTTTTTAGGGACTCACACAACCCTGTATTGCTAGTCAAAACATACACTAAACCTAGAAAGGAGTCCTGGGCTTCATATTTTTCCTCCGCTTCATAACATGGCGGGAGGGCTTAAAGCAGAGCAGTCCGTCTGAAGTTTAATAATGGCCAGGTGCAAGGTAGCTTTTACAATCACTGTCGCTTCTCTTATGTATACCCCTAATAACTCTCAATTTACCAGGCTATGGCCTGTATATTCGTAATTTGCTTCAATCCTTCTAGGTAACTCTTACTAATTATCCACTTTGATCTGATAATTATCACTACGACAGATTTCAACACACCAATTGGGACTGTGAGGACGAATATCAACAAGACCCTCATACAGGGTGCCTCCAGCACTATAAGCATGACCTGTTGAAAAATTCCGCATTCATCAGTCATTCTGAAGATCATAACTTTGAACTGAAACAACGCAACATAACAGGCAAATTCAGCCTTCTCTCTATCGGTTTTGCAGAGGAATACTTGGCAGTAGCAAGGCTTACGCAGTGAGGTCCGGTACAGTCATAGCACTATAGGAAGTTGATTATCCGGGTCTATCTTCATTTCTACTGTTTTTGTTTGGCCTAAATCAGTGTCCAAGTCACCCACCATTATAAATCGTAAGATATTCCATTTTTGCACACGTGGAGCTAGTACCTCCCTCTCCCTAATTATGGAATTCTTATATTTACTTTTAATATATTCTACACATTCTACCTCCTCATTGGTAATAGTTGGTATAGCCTCCCTCACTTTCCCTTCCTTGTGAACCCTTATTGTTTTTAATTGTAGTTTTAGCTAGCATTATTGGGATACAACCCGTACTTCCATCTTTCACGAGGGACTCCGTTAGAGCTATTTCTCCTTCATCAAAACGAGGTTATCTGTTTGGGCAACCTGATACATTTTTCTTCCTCCTAAGGGTA